TTGTATAAAATCATTCAATTCAATCGATCTATTGTATCAACAATAGATTGAATAAGTATTCTAATAAATTCTTTTTCTTCTTTTCAGAAGGTGCAAGATACAATTATGTACATAATTATGATATTTATACATATATATATTCCAATCTTAAATAGGGTATGTTGTTTCTTTTTTTTTTTCGTATTGGGATAAAAAATTTATAAATAAGTTGAAAAGTTCTATTGGCCACTAGAACTTTTCAAGTTATTTTTTTTTTTTTTTTCTTTCATACTTATATTGTTATGTAGAAAGGGAGATAGATACTATTTTATATCACAGCCCGTCAGATGGCTTCGTAATCTGACCCAGGGAGATTTCTTGTGCCTATGTTGGAGAAAGCAGTGGAGTACTCGGGAAGGCCGTCTGTTCGTTGGTCCCTGTCGCCGTTTACGTACGTCACACCTATGATCATGACCTACCAGTCCGGCGTGGTCCGCTCTGCGTGTAACCATTGTGGGTTTACAGGGAGTTTTCCTGGTCGCGCGCGCGTACGCGAGAATCAATTGTAATTCAAATAAATTTATTCAGCAAATCGAAAACAAACAAACAAATTACATTTTCTTTCGAATTTTTTCAAATGTTTCTTTATATTCCAAAATATGAGGATGATTTGAAGGTAATTTTTCTTCAGCAATTTCTACGGCTTGTTGAACATTTTTCATTGCCATATTATATTGTCGAGTAGATAAATATAATTTTGACAAATTGTGATATACAACAGCTAAATCAGGATGATTTTTTGGTAGTTTCTTTTCACGTATTTCTAATCCTTTTTGATAATATGTCAATGCCCTTGTATAATCTTTCATTTGACGATATGTTTCACCTAAATTTATATATGTCGTTGCACAATCTGTAGGATCACATTGAACATTTTCTTGAATATTTAATGCTTTTCGATGAAATGAAATTGCCATCTCACAATCACCCATTAAACGATGAACATCACCAATATTACTATATGTAATA